GTGATTGCTGCGGCTTTTTTATTTATTTCAAATTTACAAGCAGTTGGCTGAACCCGCTGGAAGTCCTTGAAACACATAATCAGGATGTGTGCAATGGCTGGGGCTTTTGTTCTGTTGGGTTTTGGTTTTCTTTTTTTAACACAAAACCTGAATATGCGTAAAAATCGTAGTGAAACCAAGGGGGAAGAGGGGGGACTTTTTCACAGTCTCTTCCCCATCGATTAATGATAGTATGCAGTGCCTTTTTTTTTTTTTTTTTTTTAAATCCCCTCCAGTGGGTGCATGCCCTTTTAGGTGACCTTTTCATTTCCAAAAAGGTTACCTAAAAGGACTTCTGCAGAGTTTCAAGGTGTTCCTTTTTGCTGCTTGTTTTGTTTTACTTAACCATGAGTCTCAGGTCTGAATCAGTTCCTGTTTTTGCTGGGCAATTTTTGAGGGCACTTAGGGCTTTTTAGATGTGTCATTACCTTGATTATTATTAAATCTTGGCATTCAGAGTATAGTTTTTTTTAATCAAAATAGTGTCTTGCATTAAAATAAGACATCTGCAGCGCAACTAACTCCTCACCATGTCAGTCAGCTTGTTCACTTTGAATTCTTGTTTACTAGTAATTCGGTATTCTTAAAGACTTCATCTTAAAGGCATTCAAATCCTAAATTTCTAGTGTAAAAGAAGAATAATTAAAAAAAAAAGTCCTTTAAAACCAACAACTTTTTGGTCTTTTTTTTTAATATTACAAAGAAAGAAGAAGGAAAAACAGAGTTGTGTTTGTTTTTTGGTGGATGGAAAGGTTATGTTTTGCGAGTTTTTTCCTCTCTCTTCTTTTAAAAAAAAAAAAACCTAGAGCACGTGTTGTGGGTTAGCCAGTGTGTTGCAGTAGATACAACTGGGAGTTTGTTTTTTCAGACTCTTGTGGTAACCAGACATTGGAGATGAAGCACATCTGCGGATCACGTTGTCTGAATTCACAAATAAAATAGCTAGAATTGGCCAAACCTGAGTTAAAGTTCCCATGCTTCAGAACAAAAATACTACTTATTTTATTAATTTTGGTTGCGTTACCGTGGGGGGTGCTGTTACTAATATCATACCAGGTAATAGCAGACGTGACTCACGCGCAAGCTCTGGCTACGCAGGCGGTGTGCGCTGTGTCGTGAGTGTGCGGGAAGCTTCTGCCCTTCCCCGGGGCAGCTGCCCGTTTCCAGCGTCTCCTTTTCTCCCTTTGCAGACGGTCATTGCTCCGGCCGTGCCACGCAAGTGCTGGTGCTGATGTGACGTGGCGCTGGGCACGGGCACAGGGTGGAAGCCGCCTCCGCTGGCAGCAGCAGAAGCCCAGCTCAGCTTCAGGTACTCTCGAAACTACACCCTGAGGGTGAGCTTTGAAGGTAGAGCTCAGGCACACCTGATGACTAGGTGTTACCGAAGGGCCTCGCCCCGACCCTGGCTGCTGGTTTCCTCTGCTGCTTTCTGTCAGTTCTGCTAACGGACCAAAGGAGTTCTGTGATACAGAAGCGACAGAAAAAGAGCTCTACCAGAAAGTTGCTAGCTGTTGCCAGAGCTGCGGATGAAGGGAGAGGGGTAGACATCCACGAGGTTTTGTAGTGGAGGAAGGAGTAGTTTAGTGCAATGTAAAAGTAACTTGCATAGGAAGATTTACTGATAGAAGGTGTCAGGGCAGACATTTTACAGACCTCATTTGGTGGCCTCTGAATTGGGCTCTGAGATTATTTCTGAGGAATACCTTGGTAGACAAGCTTACAGACAATATAGACTAAGGAAATAGAGGAACCTGATCTTCTGGTGAACCCAGCTTAATTTAAAGCTGTGCAGGTAGCATCCCTGTTGAAGCCATGCCTGTATTTGTAAAGCAACTTGCTCTAGTTGAAGATATCGCTGCTCATTGCGGATGGTTGGACTAGATGACCTTAAAAGGTCCCTTCCAACCCAAAGATTCTATGATTTTTTAAAACTTGTTTATAGAAAGTGTGGTTTATTTTTCCTTGCCAGTTTTTTGAATGGGTAGACTCTCTGATTTGCTTAAGATCTGTCCTTGCTGACCCTTGCTCAGGCAAGCAGTTCAATGCATTTTTGTATTTTTTTTGATACAATAATTTCCAATAGTTGCTTTTGGGCAAAATTTTCCTTTGTTTTGCTTTGTTTAAACTTACTGAAGATAACTTGGTGTTAAATTATCTAAATGATTAGTGCTTTATCGTGCAGAGTCTGTAGGCACGTGTAAGTACTTTTATATACATGGAAGGTGCAGACAGGTATATCCTCTTGTGTTTCCCTCCTTTGCGCACTAAACAGCTCGGCTTCAGGCACGGATTCCCCTCTGCCTTTCCAGCTTTGGGGCTGAAACATGGGGCAGGCAGCTGGAAGTGGTGACACTTTAGAACTGCCAGAGCAAGATTTGCCAAGAAGGCCATATGCGTGTCTGATAGAGCTGAATATGGGATAGTGTTACTGATGGTCTTGCAAAATTACTTTTTTTAAGCAAACCTACAGAAGTAATTTAACTGGGTAGAAATTGAAGCATAGTATATTCAAAAGCAGTAGTTTCTGCAATGGAGTGTAATTCTTTTTCCTTTCTATTATTTGTGAATTTGCAGTATTTATCCCCTTGGATTAGTTTTTGCTCCATGGATTAGGTTTTTTTTTAGTCTCCCATTTCTTTAAACCATTGGGACATTTAAAAAAAATTATTTGCTGACCACTATTTTGTGTTGTTCCAAGCATAAAGACGACATTGCTTCCTTCAGTGAACAGCCTTAACCCAGAGCCTTTATTTTCATTTATTAGTGATTGCATAATACAGTGTCTTCTAAGTCTCCACTTGTCACATAATGAGAAAGAGTTAATCTTGAAGCTTTTTTTACTTGGTTGCCATGTTTTTCCCTTTTGTGTAATAGGCCAGTGTCTTGTTTCTGATCTCAGACTAATTTTGCTTTGGAAAAGCTCTATTAGCTTTAGTGAAATTCTTCTGATTTAAATCTGTGACACTGGAATCAAGACTTTAGGGTTTATATTTATATTTTGTCATTGTTACATTTGCCTTTTCTACTGCTGATGCTTCATTTCTGCCCACTTTCTCATGCTGAGTAGCGTGGAATGAACTGCAGATAAAGTTCAATGTAAGGGTTAGGGTGTTAGCAACAGAGCTGGTGAGGTGGTGGTGGTGGTTGTTTTTTATTCGGCCTGCGTCATTACAGGGTAAAATGGTTGTGAAATATATTGGATAGAATATCAGCTACAGATTAGACTGTCCATTTATGCCTCGTTAAAATCTCTCTGAAGCAATCGGTTATTAGATAGGCTCATTGCAACAGTGTTTTTCAGGCATCAAAGTGACAACTGTTCCTATTTTAATTAAATATTTTGTAAGGTAGATGAACTATACCAAGAATCTACCTTGTAAATATGTGTAAAAAAGACTTACATGGAAAACGGTAGTTTTAAAACCTCTTTTCTCAATGAATAATTGTACAATGTGTATAGCACACATTCTTTTCTTGCTCTTTGTTGAGATGGTGCCTTTTAAAGGTGCTGTGTAAAAAAAGCCTGTTTAAAAAAAAAAAGTGTGTTCATTGTGTTCTATATTAAGCTATGATGTAGCCAGACTTGGATTGGGTAATTGCAGCTCTGAAGATGCTAGCACGTCAGGAAATGAAACTGCTGTGAGGAGCTGATGTTTACTCACTCTGTAAGTGGGGAATGGGGGAAACTGAATATAACCTCTTGGAAGCACAAAAAAAATTTCCATAAACTTTAAAATAATTCTGTGCATGTCCTAGACATACAAAGAAATATTACATGCATTTGGAATGCTACCGATGTAAGGCCCAAGAGGGCTTTTTGCCCAGCTCTTGCTGCCTCAGTATATTTTGGTGGACATTCACCTAGTTCATTTTCAAGTTCGGGAGAGGCAGAAAGCTCTGTTCCTGCTAGACTGGTTGATCACATCACCTCCAATAGGCACTATCTGCATTTTCTTCACGTACGAACTTTAATATTGGCGTATGCTAACATTTGAGTACTTGATTTTTGCAGCTTCGGCGTTCTGATGATGTGTGTATTTGCGTGCTGGGGGAAACGTCATATGCTATGTATTTGAAACCGGAAAGTGTTTAAGCAAAAGGTTTTACTGATAATTACTTGCTAGTAGTACTTTGGAAAACAGAAAATCTCCCTTTCCTCACTAGGTTGTTCTTGGTTCTTACTTTCAGTAGTTTTACACGAACAAATGTAATTCTTTCCTCATTCTGTTTTGTGCGCTAGCAGTTTACATTCATTTTAAATTAAATAAATCTTAGATTATCAGTGAACTAATTTTTAGATGCTAGGAACGAACGGTGAAAGCTTACGGTCAAGGTTACTCATTGAGATAACTGAATGTTATTAAACACTAGTATTATAAGACTTTGTTTTGTAATAAAAATAGAGTGAGTTCTTAACTGAATTTTTATTTTGAAAACGTCATTCTTTTTTTCCTCCTTTTTGACTAGTGCTGTTGTGGTAGTACTTGGAGGCTCCAGCTGAAATGAGGATTACACTGAAAAATGAGAAAAGCCCAAGCTCTGGATCTTTATCCAGGCAATCTTTGGCTTCTGTCAGTCAGGTGATTTGCTGGAGCTGAGATTTCAGTTTTTTTAGTATCGAACACTAATGCAGTGCCAGTAGTACTGGGACATTCAGAACTTGCCATCCATGACACCTGTTCTGTGGGTATATTTTGTATTTAATGTGTATCCGATAACGCTGCGTTGCCCTGTGCAAGGTGCATCGTAATTTGCTCTGTAATACTATGTCACTTCTAGTAAATGTCAAAAATTGCACCAGTTCTTAGAGGGACCGAACAAGTATCTTGTCTAATTCTCATGATGAAGTTAAGAATATACCAGACTGAATACTGAAGTGTTTTACTTTTTCAGACCGTAGCACTGCGAAGGAGGAACTCTGCAAACTTTTCTCAATGACTCTATAGCCAATTGATGTAACAATGGTACTAATATTGGGACGCAGACTGAACAGAGAGGATAGTGGGATACGAGATTCCCCTGCAACCAAGCGGAAAGTTTTTGAAATGGACCCAAAATCGTTGTCAGGCCCTGAGTTTTTCGACTTCTCCTCAGGATCATCCCATGCTGAAAGCATTCTCCAGATCTTCAATGAATTTCGAGACAGCCGGTTGTTCACAGATGTTATTATCTGTGTGGAAGGAAGGGAGTTCCCCTGCCATCGAGCGGTTCTCTCGGCCTGCAGCAGCTACTTCAGAGCTATGTTTTGCAACGATCATAGAGAAAGCAGAGAGATGCTAGTGGAGATCAATGGCATTTTTGCTGAAGCTATGGATTGCTTCTTACAGTACGTATACACTGGCAAGGTGAAAATCACTACCGAGAACGTGCAGTATCTCTTTGAAACGTCAAGTCTCTTTCAGATCAGTGTTTTGCGTGACGCCTGTGCCAAGTTCCTGGAAGAACAGCTGGATCCTTGCAATTGCCTGGGAATCCAGCGCTTTGCAGATACGCACTCGCTCAAGACGCTGTTCACCAAGTGCAGGAATTTTGCGCTGCAGACATTTGAGGATGTGTCCCAGCATGAAGAATTCCTCGAACTGGGGAAGGATGAGCTTATTGATTACATTTGCAGTGATGAACTGGTGATCAGTAAGGAAGAGATGGTGTTTGAAGCTGTCATGCGCTGGGTGTACCGGGCAGTTGAGTTGCGAAGACCAGTGTTGCATGAACTTCTGACGCACGTCAGGCTCCCGTTGCTACACCCAAACTACTTTGTTCAGACTGTGGAAGTGGACCAGCTGATTCAGAATTCCCCAGAGTGCTATCAGCTGCTGCATGAAGCCAGGCGATACCATATCCTTGGAAATGAGATGATGTCTCCCAGAACTAGGCCACGCAGGTGAGGAAACTTTTTCCCCCCAACACACCCCCATCCCGCCCCCACCACCTTATTTCTGTAGAAGGACATAGCTCGGTGTACAGATACTTGATATACATTTGCCCAGAAAAAAAATCTGCAGATTATTTTATTTTGCCCTCTGGAGCCACTGCAGTTACACTTCTGTACTTCCCCACAACATGTGAAGCTCACACATGTCTTGATGTACATAAGTAAGTCTTTTTGCACAGATCACTTCATTGCTGCGAAATAAAGGAGTGTTCAGGTAAGTGAAGTTACATTACTTTGCAAATAAAGTATTTTCTAAAGGTTATGTTTGCTAAGTGAGATCTTAAGTTATTTCATACAGTAACAGTGTCTTGAAAAGAACTTACTGTGCTAAACCACTCAATTTCCCAACCTTCTTTCTTTTTATAACAAAGTCATTTAAGTGTACAGCATACTGTAGAGGATGTGGATGGGGATGTATATTCAGAGCACTTAGCACTCACTTGCTACATCACAAATACTTGACAGATGGAATAGTACATGGATTTGTAATAGACAATAGACCAAAGAACAACAGGTTTTTAACTATAAAAAAACCCTAAATCTTGCATTTCTAAAGAATTATGAAACAGTTCCTGAAGTATTTCATGCTTATTCTATGACATTTTAATAATTCAGAATTGTTGCTACTTAATAATGCGTTACACAAATAGGTGACTGAAGTTGCAAGAAGAAATGAGGAAGAGTCGATTAGTGGCATTTATGAGCAATAGTGGTTATGATCTTGTTTTTTTCCTGAAAAAAATTTTCACAGTAAGAGCCTTACCTCCACATGACAGTTGACATGATAGTTTATTGTTAACTCCAGCTGATTGAGGCTGTAGTTATAAAATCATGTGTTACATTAAGGTGATGCAATGATCAGGTCTGGACAAACAGATGGTGTTAGGAGTTACTCTTCTTTGTTTACTCTTAGTCATATATGGTTGCTGTACAGTGACTGTGTGGGGAATCTTTTTTTTTTTTCCATGTGTTAGGCTTGCTTACGGGGGGGGGGGGGGGGGAATACTTGGCAAGCATTTGCCCCATTAGTGGCTTTCCAGTCTTCAAGCCTGCCATGAGAGAAGAAATTCTTCTTAAACTCCTTGCAGCCCTGCTGCCAGGTTTTCTGAGCTGTACACTGCCACAGAGGGTCTTTGGAAACTTCTGGTTCGTCGCAGTTTGGAAATGGGTGCAATCGTAGTTTCTGAGGCATTTCATATCCTGAGTTTGGGCCTGAGGGAGGGACCATTGATTTCAGACCAAAGACCTCCTTGTTTCATGAGCAGTTGAAGGAGGCCTGTATCTTGTGGTATTTGGTGGTGTTTGTTGTACATTTATTACTCAATTTGATAAAGCAAGCAAATACACTCAGACTTAACAGTTTTGTCAAAGTGCACAGAGTGTATGTAATGGAGAATCTGAATAGCCTCAGTGTGGCATTCCAGTTTGTAAATGAAGTACCTTGTCCAATACAGGTGACTTCTGAAGCTGGGGGAGGGTGTTGGCTTGGGATTTGGTGTGTTTTGTTGGTTTTACTGCTGGGCTTATTAAACTGCACTGTGAACTCCAGTACGCAGGAACAAGAGAAATAATTTACAAAGAGGAAAAACTGGCTGGCCTCCCAGCAGGAGTTTTTTCCCCTCTTCTATATTGCATTCATGGAATAGTTCTTTGTAATTTGTTTCTGTTGCCTATAGCAAAGAGAGATCATGTTTTAAAACAGTTACCAGGTCCTCCTTCCCCCCGCCATGTTTTTATCACACCTTTTGTGTCTGTTTCTGCGGTGTTTGGGGAGGAGAGGGTGCTGGACAGCCCTCTTCCTTCTTTCTTGCCTTCCTCCAATTTCTTTTGAATATAAACTGTTTCTGAAAGGAGACAGGCTGCAGGATCAGAAATTCCCATGCCAGTGTTTTTACTGAAACTTCTGGAAATTAATTGTGATTCCTTGTATGGGTATTTATGCACCTACAGATGAAGTGGGTTCTACCCATTTTTTTTTTAAAAGAACAGTGTGGATTGCAATTCACAGTTGATTTCCCCTCCCCCCTTTTTGGAGCTACTGAAGAGCTACCTGAAGTAAGTAAAAGTTTAAAACGTGGCGTAACAGTTGCCTGCTTGTTCTTTTGCCTCTAGGCATCGTGACGTGTGCAGAAGGTCTTTTTGAAAGAGCTTTTCAGTTATGTACTTGCAATGACATAGTGACATCTTGAGGCTGTCTCTCATGTTCCTTTTAAGTCTCTTTTGTCCCCTGCTGGTTGTGTTGCACAGCGAGTCTCTAAGCTGGGATGAAGCAGTGAGCAATAATACATTTCCATATACAAAACAAAACAGGCTCTTCCTACTACATGCTTTGAATTATCTTCAGATTTTCATATACCTGTGAGTTTTTCAGTCACACAGTTCCTGTTAAGCTGTCAGACAACAATATATGAGTGTCTTCTTTAGTTACTTAGAAGTTGTTATACTTACATGTTCCAACACATCCTTTCTGGTTGCCTTTAGAAGGCTTTAATGCAGTCCCTTATGTTTACCCCAAGGAGTTGAGTTTTTATTTCACTTCACATTTCTGTTATCCCATTTGCTACCCAAAAAGTGAATTCGCAAAAAAACCCAAAAAAGTAGTGACTTACCAGAATCCTGGTAATTTGTCTCCCAAACAATAAAATGTTTTTGAATGTAATCTCTATGAACTACTGAAAGTTATCCTGTCCAGCTGATGCTGTGCTGGTTGGCATTCTTACCTTGTCTAGAGGTCTGCCTGTAACTTGGGGCCCCTTGGAAGCCTGCTCTTGGGAATGCACGGGATTATATGATGGTTTGTCAGTTGTCTTCCACTCCCCCTTTTCTATTCTGTGCATCTCTTCCTGACAAGAGGGTGTCTCCTGGAATCTCTCTAATGCTTTTTTTAGCTTACCTCTGTGATTTTGCTCACACCCTTTCTTCTGAGGGCTACAAGGAGGACTTTCTGTACTGCTGATTGAGACCACAGCTTTTTCTTAATCTCCACTCAAATATATCCTTAGTTCTTCTCTAGAATTAACCTTTGCCTCTATGTTCTTTTTGTGTACTCCCACATTTTAAATTTTTTTTTTTAACTGATGTGCCCTCCATCATTTGCAAAAGATCTTTTGCAGCTAACCTTAAAACCTATACAGTGCAAGACTCCTTCAAGAAAATGTCATGGAGAAAATGTTTCTTAACTGAAGAAAGGATATGGTTATATAGGTGCTAAAATGTTGGGAAAATTTTTTGTTTTCTGTGTATTTGAAATGCTGTACTAAATTACTACTTCCTTTAAAGAGCAAAACTCCATCATAGCAATTCATAAAGAGCTCTCTCCAATCAAAGATTTTTGATTCATTTAGTTTTAAAATAAAAGATTGATAATCCAGTACAGTAAGCTTTTCAATAAGTAAGTGGAGGCCTTGATTCTATTCTAGAAAGTAATCAACAGACAAACCTCTTTTGTACATACAGTTAGCTGATGTATTTGGGCTTGCTTCTAAGTCAAATTATGAGATGAGTATCTTGCTTTTAAGGAAATTCTCTTTCTGGGTAATGCTTTGCTGGCACAGGAACTTCCCCTCTCTTATCCTTTGAGAGATTCTTTTCAGAGTTGTTCCTCAAAAAAGCAAAAAAACAGTAACAGTAAATACATAGACACCAGGAACGAGCATGACTTCAAAGCTGAGGAGCTGAAGAGGGTGTTTCTTCTGACTAGTTCAGGTGCGTAAGTATGCTTCCTCAGATACGTGTCTTCATTATATAATCTTACAGTACGTTATCATTTAGCATTGCCTTTGCCTACTTAAAATACTCTGAGCAGAAATATATATGGTATATTTAAATTATGATGTATGGTGACAAGGGGATAGTAGAGGTAACTAGTTTTATACCTGATGTTTCAAATCATCAGGGAAAACTTCATCAGGATATATAAGTTAATATGTGCATAAGTTCACATGTTAGGAAATTTGGGGACAGATCATGCAACTTTTCTCTCAAATGCAGTCATAAGTAATTTTTTATTTTTTTTTTAGAGAAAGGACTGCTCTACTCAACAATGGTATGAAAATTGGGATCAAAGTTAAAGCACAACACAACAGAAAAGCTTACCAAAAATAAAATCAATCCTGCATTAAGTTTTCCTTAATTAATAGACAGCAGTCCTTGAAATAACTATATCAGTGCAAAATCCTTTTATCTAAAAATGCACTGAAAAGAAAGGATTTTGACAAATGCTTATGAGAAATTATAAGTTTGAAAGGAGGAATAAAAGTTGGTCATAGTTTGATTTGCACATTGGTGGTGGTTGGTTGATTCTCCATGTTCAAATGTGGATTAACATGCAACGATTTTTGTTATTGCTGTGAATGCAGAATGTGTATAATGCAGACATGAGGTTAAGTAGAAGGAGAATGAGAGTGTGGAATAGAATTTAAAGGCTTATTTGTGTACATTGCAGACTGTCTAATGCTTTATTTTTTCATGCGGAGTTTTAGGTTTTGGCTTGAATTTTTATTTTGGTGTTTCCTAATGTTTCCTTTTATCATTACACTTGTTTTTCACTTTTTTAACTACGCATTTGCTCCAAGGTCTCTTTCTTTTCTTTTCCTTTATTTTGGTGACTATATGCCTTCAGCCTTTTCCTTCAGGAAATAACCTAAAACATTTAAAACTTTTTGAATATTTAAGCACTGTAAAGTACTATGAGTTTTGTAAAATTGGGGGGGGAACTGGTTTCAGTGTGAAATAGATGGCTCATCTCATTGTCTCAGGCCTCACTTGAACTCTCTTTCTGATATCTCTATGTACACAGTCAAAGTATTACTGGAGTAAGGGCTTTCTGTATTTTTTAATTATTTGATTTTTAGATAGAATGTTGTGCAGTGGAACTCTGCCACTTTCACAGAACACCTGTTGGTGTGGTAACCTGCTGTGTAATGGGCCAGCTGGAAACAGTGAAAACCTCTAACTGTACTAAATGACTCTCAGCTTTTTTTCTTTGCTGTAGAAGTTAATGCTAAATAGTAAATATTCCAATTTTCACACAGTTTTGAAGACAATGTTTCTTGGCCTCTGTATACTGATAAGAATCTTCTACATTTTAGTTTTTTGTGTTCACTTTTTTAGATCAACTGGTTATTCTGAGGTGATAGTTGTTGTTGGAGGCTGTGAACGAGTTGGAGGGTTTAATTTGCCATATACTGAGTGCTACGATCCTGTAACAGGCGAGTGGAAGTCACTGGCTAAACTTCCAGAGTTTACCAAGTCTGAGTATGCAGTGTGTGCTCTACGGAACGATATTCTTGTTTCAGGTGAATAATCCTAAAAAATTTAAGACTTCTTTCTTTTCTTTTCTTTGTTTAAAGTATCGTGACAGATCTTTGTACTGTGAACTTGCAGAAGCTCAACTGAAAGTTACTTTGTGATGTAAATGGTGAACTCCAGCCCCAAACCAATCTTATTGTAAACAAAAGTGTTTTCTAGGATTTTGTTTGGTATTAATCGGCAGTTTTTTACAGCTGATTCCAGGATATCAATTCTATTTAAAGAGACTAGTTTATGCTCATTAGTATGCTGCTCTAAAATCTAGTAGTGGCCTGCTTGCAGGAACAGTTGGAAAAATTGCAAGCAAAAAATCCCAAGCAATCTTTTCCCAGCAGCATTTTCTCTGCTACAAAATGTGCTGTGTGCTGGTTAAAAACACCACTTGCCTAGGAGCATTCCAGCAATGGTATGTTGCTGGTGACTTGTTTCTATCATATGGCTGCCTAGACTCCCAAAGAAAAACAGTTAAAGCTTCTTCTCATTGTGGGAATGTACAATGAACTTTTAGCACCTCAGTTGGGGATCCATTTATACCAGCCTTTTACAGTGAGATGAGCACTGCAATGAGCATTTAAAATGTTTTTAAACACCTCTTATTCATTTTTTTTAGCAAGCATAAATTACAGGCTACAGCTGATGGTTTAGACACCAAAGCCCCATGTGTTAGTTTAACCAAAGAAAATGTCTTCTCAGATCGGTAGTGCCTGTGGCATTTGAACAAGATGTAAACCGAAGGAGTTCTGTGCACGAACTAAACAGGGGAACAGCTAGTGTTAGGGTTGTGCCGTGAGGCACATAAATGGTTAAGATTTCAAGTGTCTCATCCAGGTAGTGACACTAAAGAAATCTGAAGAGCACGGGCAAAAGCCATTAAAATGCATTCCAATCTGAAGAAATAAGCTAATGTGATCTCGGCATGTTACTGGAAAAGGCACAGGTAAGTAAAACAACTTAGTGCATGTTTTCACGTTTGAAATCCACTGAAACTGACTTTTTTGGTGTAACACATAAATACAGATAGATCTTTATTTCACCTAAAAAGAATATAAAGTTTTCATTGCCCACTGTAAAGGGGCATGGTAATAGTTAACATTTCTCATTCAATAATGAATTTATTCAAATTGGAATATTTTTGTTTTTAAAGGTGGAAGAATCAATAGCCGGGATGTTTGGATTTACAATTCTCAACTTAACATTTGGATCAGAGTTGCTTCTTTAAATAAAGGCAGATGGCGTCATAAAATGGCTGTTCTTCTTGGTAAAGTAAGAGAAGTATATTTATAACTTTCTTTTATAGTGGGGATGTTTGCTGTATATAAGAAAACAGTGGCAAAAACATAGGTACATATTAAGTATTCATATTTCCTATACATTTTAAAAATACCTATTTTCAAATAAAAACCTATGTTAAACAATTAGGCTTTTTGAGTCAGACGCTATCTGTGTTTGCGAAAATCATGTTACCCCTTGTTTTTTGGGGGGTTTTATGTAGGTTTTTTTATCACAGAAGTGTGTTATCCCCAAGAAATCTTTTGGGACGCAAAGAATCATCTGGATTTTCCTGTGCTTCAGAAGTGTTGTCAAAAGTTTAGTAGTTTATGCAGTTACTAACAGAAACTGGTACTGCTCTGAATGTCAGCTCTGTGCTCTTTCATTTAATGTTTTATATTGAAATTAACCAAATGTATGCTGTGGAGAAATGGGAGGTTTTGCTATTTTGAAGGCATACATGCCTTAACATAAAAACAGTAGTTGGGATCCTGCCTGTGAGGATTCCATTAATGAAAGTTAGGGAAGATGTGCATGTGGTGTCCCTTGGAGTAAGTAACTTCTTGGAGATGAGACTTGCAGCTGGAGCAAACGGGGGAAGAAGTTAGACACAAATAATGAGCTCTGCCTCTTGAATATGAAAGAAGCAGTAGGAAGGTAAAGAAAATTTTACAACTGAGAAGAAGAAATATTTTTGCAAGCAAGTAGGAAAACAGTAAAACACAGAAAAGCAAAGGTAGTTCAGATGGACTTTGCTGCTGCTGTTGCTGAATGTCATCTGTGAAAAGAGAAATGCAGAGAAGTGCCTTTTTTAACAAATGCCATTAGAATAGGAAGTTTCTATCTCGGTATTAGTAATACTCTGCTTTGGATGTGTGTGTGCAGTGTCATTCCACATGTGACTGAATGGAACTCTCCAGAGAGTCTTTACCTATCATTTTTAGACCATATTCTTCTCCTCCTGTGTATAAATTAAAAATGTGAGGGAAGTATCCCTTCACAAACCTAGCAAATTAGGATTCTTGCAGCTTTAAATTAATTTAATTTCATCTTTAAATGTAGTAACTATTCTAAAAATGAAATAATGATAGTTTTCACCACTTTGCATAGGTATATGTTGTTGGAGGATACGATGGGCAAAACCGTCTCAGCAGCGTAGAGTGTTACGATTCGTTTTCCAATCGATGGACAGAAGTGGCTCCCCTTAAAGAAGCTGTGAGCTCTCCAGCAGTCACAAGCTGTGTTGGCAAACTGTTTGTGATCGGGGGTGGTCCTGATGACAACACATGTTCTGACAAGGTCCGTTAATTGTATTTGATTGCATCTTCTATCCATGGTAAACAGTATTGCTGGGTTAAAAATAGATCATGCAGAGATGGTTTGCTGAATGGAGTATGGAATTTTTATAATACAAAAAGTACAGAGTAGAAAATATTAACTCGGTAACATACTGTTACTGTGGTCTTTCTCATGGATACTTGGCTTCACAAGTTCTGCGAATTATTAAACCTGAGTGTTAGGAAAACAATGTTAAATGTAGTCCATATATAGATGTTACTGATATATGGACCTATATTTGTATTAACATCATTTTCTTGGTGAGATATTGCCCACCAGGTATTGCTGCTTAGGCTCTCCTTGTATAACCTGTGTGGGTATGCCACGTTATTATTTCAATTAGGCTTCTAATCTGAAATGCATGTATTTTTTTTCAGGTTCAGTCTTACGATCCCGATACTAATTCATGGTTGCTCCGTGCAACTATCCCTATCGCAAAAAGATGTATTACAGCTGTGTCTTTAAACAATCTGATCTATGTTGCTGGTGGACTTACCAAAGCAATATACTGCTATGATCCAGTTGAGGACTACTGGATGCATGTACAGAATACATTCAGCAGACAGGTAATTAACACTAAATGGCCTTATAGACATCTGAAAAGTATTTTTTTACATTAGTATCTTGTACTTAACCCTGTTAAAATTGCATCTCTGATTCTGTTCTTGCTTTACTTCTTCATCCATATAATTCTAAACATGACTTTAGGAGGAAGTTTCTAAACCAGTAGCTTTTCAGCTGGGTGTCACTGTTAGCAAGTCCAGTCTTTGTTTGAGAGCAGTTACTGTTGGAGAACAGTGTAACAGTATAACGAATGACGTTTTAATTGTCTAGAAAATGATCTCTGTCAAGTTCTGCTACATGTTTTAGTTTAGACTGAAGATAGTAATTTCCTTATAATTGATTAAAGGCTTTCAATGTAACAAAAAGTATTGAAGGCTGTTCTTATAGTGTGGGGAAAAAAACCCCACTGTATAGCACAGAAAAGTGCCTGACTTCAGCAGCAAGAGCTGTATTAATTCTATGTACGGAACACTGAGCAGAATTTAAAAATGCATCCCCTCGGTAGTGAAGTGTGTGTGTATTAGTTAATTTTCCCTATGTTTTTAAAACATCAAGCACATACTTTACAGTATCTACCTTAACAGAAATTTGTTCTTTTTTCCTGGCCTTCCCTCTGTTCCTCTGTTTTGATCTGTATTCTCTATTGATTGCATTTTTTTTTCCATGCCTGCTTTTAAGGAAGAAAAAAAATGCTCTCTCTCTTTGCTTCAAGTAAGACCATAGCGCTGTCTTTTTCTTATGCACCCTTTTCTTAGAGGGTTTCTTCTTTTCCCTTTCTTCTAGAGGCTTTTTTGCCTCTTCCCTGTTTACATCCCTCTTCATTATCTGTTACTTCTCTAAGGTGCTTCTCCTTGTTCCCATTTTTTGCATTAATAGTTCCTACTTCTGAAAAAAAAACAGTCCCACTTCTGAAAAAACAGTCCCTCTTCTGAAAACCTTTGTTCTCTCTTCCTTTCCTTATCTCAGATGTTTTAAATAGTAAGTATAGTGTTCAGCTGTGTTCCATTGTATCTCTCATCTGAGCTATGTGTAGTGAAGGCCTAGACCTGAAATAGTCTTTTTTGGTAGGATTGTGCTGCTGCTTTCCCCAACTATTGTGCTTTCTGCATTGGTCCTCTCAGGACGGAATAGTATAGGCCAGTCTGTTAACAAACAGTGGGCACAGTGCTGTCGCTCTGCACTCAGGTAGGCATGCAGGGGCTGAGGTCTTGTTTTTTAAGTAATTGTGTATTCCTTTTTGTATTTTGAAACAGGAGAATTGTGGCATGTCTGTGTGTAATGGAAAAATCTATATCCTTGGCGGAAGACGAGAAAACGGTGAAGCCACAGACACTATTCTTTGTTATGACCCTGCAACGGGCATTATCACAGGAGTGGCAGCCATGCCCAGGCCAGTATCATATCACGGCTGTGTGACGATTCATAGATATAATGAAAAAGGCTTTAAACTCTAATTTTTTTTCTTGAAAAAAGAAGATGGCATGAATGAATCCAGTGGTCTGCTGCAAGACAGGCTTTTTAAAGATTCCTGAAATGGGAAAGTGCCCTTTCCCTACCTAAGGGTCATACGAAAATTGTATCCTGTGCCTTTAGAAAAAGGGTTAATTTAACTTACAAAACAAGTCTACAAATCTATCTGGTAACCAGAGTTCAGTTATATCTGCTATGGGCTCTGATAGGAGAGCAGCAATAGTACGTTGTACTAGTGTTCAAAAGGTTGCCCTATGTGTGATTAGTAATTAAAATCTTGGAAGCTTTGTGGAGAAAGTGCCTTCACAAGCATTTGTGCCTGTGTCCTAAGAAGTGATATCTGTAAGGTGTTTCAGGTTCTGCTAATTGGAAGAACAAATAGGTGAGTAAATTCCAAAGAATCATCTAGGATAATTACCTACAATTAAAAAAAGATTATATAATTGTAATCCATATGCACAGCATTCTTACAATCAGATTACTCGGCTTACAAGCAGACTTTGTCAGATCATGCATGGTTTGGAATTTAAAAAAAACCCAAACAACAAAACAAGCTACATGGGACAAATATTAGAATCTTCGCTTTTTTTTCTGAAGGAGAAACTGTGTTTTTTCAGTGAGCCACTGCAACATAACTGCAGTGACAATTGTGTACCTTAATACTATGGACCTTATTCATAGTGCTGCTAAATGTTCATCAGAAATACAAGGCTACATGACATGGGAAACTAGTGACCGCTGGGGTGTAGGCATGCGATTTGTGAAGCAAATTTTGAGTCCCAGTTCTTAACTTTTTGAGTAGTATAGCTGAAGTCTGAAAGTTACTGGGTTCACTCTTTGCTCACAGAGAAGTATCTCTTAACTATTCAAGGAATAAAGGATGATGAACTCTGGATTCTTCCACTTTTCTGAATCACATCTAAATTACCTGATGATAGAGGTGAGGACTCGGGTTGCACCCTACAGCTTATAAATTGGTCTTTCAGATATCTCATCTGCAGAGATGGCAGAGTACCTGCCAAGTATTTCTTGGCTGTTCTTCAGACAATCACTTTAGCACAGTTAAACTACTGTATAAGCTGCTTGGCCACAGATAAAGAAGTTCTGGAAAGCTCCCTCTTGTCACCAGAAAACAATCTGTGGACCTGTCCACATAGCCATATGAGGTAACTCCCACATAACATGTTTTGGCTAATTTTTGAAGCCTAGGAAGCACCTGTATTTTGACACACACACCCCCTTTTTTTTAAAGTCTTCCCTAGATTTCTGTACTAGGTTGCTTTATTTCCAGTACACAGTTGTATATAGTTGAGGCATAAGTTCATAAAAACCTAAATAGCACTTGGGAGTTGGAAAATGAATAGGATTGTCTGTGTACCAATTTTCTGTTAATCACCAAAAACCTCAGGAACTGCCTTTCAAAGGAATTCTGAGGACAGCAGCCAGTAGGGAAGTTGGTCAGTGCCAGGGCAGAAAAAAAACAACATAAGGCCCCTGCAGAGACAGCCCTGCCCTTGGGCTTCTGGTCTCCGTGCTTGCTCAGGGGGGTGAAAATAAGCACCATCTCTGCAACGTTGTTTGTTCCACAGGACTTTCTTCATGTGTTTTCCCAGAGTATTTCTTCATGAGATGGAAATTATGACCCTCAGTGAAGCCATGCCAAACTGGGAGTCATCATTTTCAGTAACATACGGTCATGACTTTTGAAGAGCACTGGGAGCTGCATGTTGTGATGCATTAACTTGTAACCTCAGGAAAGGACACAAATTCCAGTTTCTGGCTGAATACCAAACACTGCTTTGTATATCTTAAGAATACTGATAAAATATAAATCTCTGCATATCAGTGATGTAATTAGGAAGTTAGTGCCTGAGCATGTACTTTCACATTGCCCTAAAAATAAAGTCCCTCAGTAATGCAAGACAAATTAATCAGATAAATTAATCCTTTTCTAAGTTTCTTGTGTTTCTGCTTGCCAAGTGTTAATTTGAAAAGGTAATTTCAGTACCTGTGAATAAGGTCCATTGATAGCAATGGTAATTGCGCAGTAACTGATATTACGTGCTAACACTGTGTATAACTTGTGCCATCATTGTAAATGAAAATGTAAAAAATTTATAGGAGCACTTCATGAGAGATGCAGTTGGAAAAAATATTATCCTTTCCTTTGATTTCTTTCTTGTTTGTATTAAGGTTTGTAATGTTGATTGTCATGCTAACTGTTTTTAAACATTCTTTATTCTGTAGATGTAGAACAATGTCATTTACGTATATCTTTTAATCTGTGTTTATAATACTGTACTACTCTGTAAATAACAAAATACTGCTTTCTATGGTTTTAAAGATTCATTTTATAATTTAGTTGTCTTTTCTTAACAATTTATGTACTGTTACGGTTACCTATTATTTTGAAAATGACAGTGTCTAATGAACCAGTAAATGCAGAAAAGTAGATGTGGAAGAAAACTTCTGCTTACAGTTCTTGAAAACCTGTATTCAATGATGAACAGTTACATGTGTGGAGCATTGCTAAAATGGCAGTTATTCATGCAATGATTTCCTTAAAACAAGCAGTGGGGTTTTTTTGGTTTTGTTTTTGCTTGTTAACTCTGTAAATAATTTGCACTTATGGCCTGTTCTGTAAGAACAATTATTTTTAGATGTACTAGAAAATAACAATTCAACTTCGGTTTAATGAAAACGTATTATTTCCAGAAGGATGCATTAATTTGGAAGTCTAATTCCTGAGCCACCTTTTCTCCAGTGCATTTCACTTAGGTATAGATGAATTAGAAGATTTAAACTCTCACTATTATGCATATCTAGCTGCATGCAGTTTATGGGCTTGAGCAGCAAGTTGGGTTTTTTTTTGTCTCAGCTAGGAGAGAAAATTACTAATAACATTTAGTATAATCAAAAGATTTCCATCATAAATGGTGATAGGTTTGGCAGCTCCAAAGTAGACACACCTGCACAAAGATGTAACTTCAGTCTAACCACTCATGAAAGAGGGCTCAAGTATCTCTTAAAGTCATACCTAAAAAATAAATTCTAAGAGTTGTCTAATATTTCACTCCACTAAACAGATAATTTAAAAAGTATTCTAAAGTGTTTAAGTCTTTAAAAAGTCTTTGAAGTATTTCAGTCTTAAAAAGAAGTGAGAGTAAATGTTCCCCTTCTCCGTGTAACTTTATGAGGTATCCTTCTGTTCTCAGCAATATGATGTTACCTGAAAAGAAAGTTGATGCTTCCTTGCAGCCTGGCTTCAAGAAGGTTCTGAATAAATAACTTCAGTACTGCATTACAGTGCAGCCTATAGCCTATAGCTATTCTGCTTTTACATAGAACATGCATTCCCTCATTTTCCAGCCATCAAGCATGTAACATTGCCTGGTAATCATCTTTACCTGTAGACTCCATTCTTGGTAATGCTTATGTAGGCATAATTTGTGGAATCTCCTGCATTTGTACCATCAGATGGTTCACTTGATACTATGTGCCTGGTATGCATGTGAGGCTTAGGCACTGTGCTGCGAACTTTAGCACCAAGGGTCCAGAGTTGTAGTTACTTTTTCATTTTAATTAGCACCAATGCAGTTCTCATCAAAGACTATTTTTGTTTCTACTCTCTGAAGCACAGGTATCTTTAAGGCAGATTATGTTGATATGGACCCTTATGATAATTTACTCAAGCTTTTTAAATGGTATTTTTAACACTGCAAATTTTTGAGAGAGGCTGACTATGTAGGAGGAGGAGGTGCTCACCTTGACAGAGGTCCACAGAGGAAGCTTTGGTCACTTGTGCCTGAGAGCTCCAGCTTCTTCCTCAAAACAGTTGAGTTCACCGTTTTATCTTAGATAATTGCTCAATTTATCCTGCTTTTGTTTTATTTGAGCTACAAGGACAAAACCCAACGCAGTGCCACTCCCTGTGCCTTCAGGTTTCCCTGTGCCCAAGGCAGGGTGATGTGCTGGAGCTGTCACTCTTGGTGGGTAGGCGGAGCTGTGAACTTAGTCCAGCTCCAAAGAGAGAGACAAGAGGGAAACTCACAGGGGTAGAGAGATGGCAGGAGGAAGTGCAGTGCATTTGGGGTTTGTGCATTTGGCTGGGCATGCTGAAACCAAGGCATAAGTTTGTAATTCCAGATGCTGAAACTCAGGTGGTAAAAATACTTCACATTTGTCAACTCACTGAACTTAGTTGAAGTGATAAAGGTGCATATACGGTCACGGTCTTCTAGTGGCAATCTTCAGGAAAGCCAAAGGTTCATTTTTCCTAATTGCCCGAAACTGGGCAAGTATGTGTCTTGGGGTTCTTTTTCCTGCCAGTGAAGATGGCAAAAGCCAGTTCAAGAGCATTAAGAAGGTCACACAACTAGATCACTGTGAGGAAAAGTGAATCTTTTCATCTGCATGTAGTGTTGTGTACACAAGGAAGTAAAAATTAAATGTTGTGCCTAGTTAAAAAAATCTGAGCAATATATACTCAGAAAAGGAGTCTACAAGGTAAGATGAGATTTCTAAGCAGAAATTTGCTATCTGGTTGGGGGCCAAGCAGTGATTTTTAAATTTTTTTAATATGTCTAGCACACAAGTTTTCTCAGTGTTGAATTACTTCAGGTGGCATTAACAAAAAATGGATCTCACTGTTAGTTTATCATGGTTGTGTCAGTAATATGAGCATTGCCACAAAACAGCAAGCAGCCTCCTACCAGCCCCAAACCAGATGTGTGAATCACCTGTTCTCTGCATGCTGGCCTGGTGTCAGCTGTCTTCTGTAACTAATGTTACACATAAATTCATGTTACTCAAAGTATATAGCCCTGATAACACTGCTGTCTAAGAACATTTAGAGGAACATTTCTTTTTTTTTTCTACTGTAGTGCTCTGGTCTATGCTCATATGTTCATGTGTGCACGTGTGCGTGAATAATTTTGTGATCATTTTCTGATAATGTTGTTATAAGTAATGCACATAAAAGCTCCTGTGTACAGCTTGTTGATAATGTAATGATGGCTTACTTTGTATTATTAGTTCCAAAGAAAACAATGTGTGTTAATTTTGAAAATACCTGTGCCTTGAATTCACCTATATTTTTATCTAATGTGGAAAAGAGCTTGGAT